CCCCCCCCTTTCCCCACCCCTGTGAAAGCGCCCATGCAAATTCACTCATTGATTGCAATCGCCAATCGGGCAAACGTTGTTAGCCATGTGCTTCACCACACACATCTTTAGCTGCCAACACAGGTCTAGGCTACGTTAGATAGGGGTTTGTATTATTGAGCATTTTCCTGAAAATGTGTCTGAAATCATAACCTAGCAGGGTTCGAGGAATATCCCTCTAGTAGCTTCCTATACACCAAACATTTCTGGTGGTTTCCATGGATTCTCCATTCCCTTCGAAGGGGAAGAGTTCAACGTAGTTTCCATTTTCTTTTCCATTATCCCTATATAGCCCCAAAATATCTCCTGCAATCCCTGTATAACCCCTAAAGGTAAACTGGCACATCGCCTTCAGTGCGCCGCTAAGGGCGCGGTCGGCAGCACTTTGGCTGCCTAGGGAGCCTCAGTCTCTCGTGTGGGCGCTTCAGAAAAAGCGGGTTGAGGCCCCCTTTTCGACTTTTCTAGTATTTGGGGGTATATGACCCCTATAACTATAACAGTCCCCATGTTATATATCTATGTGATACATTTTAAGGAATTTAGACTATAGCTCATATAAAAGGTGACCGCAAGTTTTTGGACATGCCCATGTGCAAGTAGGAGGACTTCTTTTTGGGACCCTGACAAAATGTGTAGGGTTTAACATCAACATCCCATGATTTCCATGCGCAGCAAGTGGGACCCTATACCCTAAATCCTACACCCCAAATCCTACACCCTAAATCTTAAAAATCCTAAGCCCTAAACCGCGTGGTTCTTAAGAATCCTGAGGCCCGCTCTGACCTCACAACTCAAAACTTTTCATTCAAGCGAGGTTAGCATTAGCATGAGAGTTTAGGGTTTAGGGTTGAGGGTGCGGCATTAGGGTCAAGGATGAAAGTTGTTGACATTAAATTTTCCTTGGGTTTGGCTAGGAAATGGTTTGGGACTGTAGTGCTCCTCCTATAAGCGATGATACGAGGATTTATGTTGAGAGTTGTGTCTGTCTGTCCCTCGGTTTTTTCACGGCTGAGCGTTGTTACGTAAGTCTGTTGGGACAGAATCTTCCCGCTGCTTTTTCCTAGCATCACTCAGCACAATGCGCTCCGAGAACTGCTGCTGCTTCTGCCGGTGTGCTGCTAGGATGTTGGGTGCCTTGGGCTTAGGGGTTTGGGATTTAAGCGCCTCGCATCGTATTCAAGCCATGCAGGTATTCTCGTCAACAGCATCCTTGACAAAGTCTCCCAAATGCAATTCTGGTACTTGATTTACATCCCTGTGCTTTACAACCTGCAGTATGAGACCAAGGTCGAATAACGAACCGGAAAGAGTGCCATCCATGTCCGTAGTTGCCCCAAAGTATACGTCCAAGACATTGCAGCCCCCATGAGCAGTGTGTGGGGTGAAACCCTAAACCCACAATCCACAGCCCCAAAAAAAACAGTCCAAGGCACCCAGTACCGCGGTACCAACCCGTCTGAGCCTCACTCACGCTGGGTATTGCGGATGCTCAACTAGGCTCCGCTAAAAAAAGTCATGAATGAAATCCTAGACCTGAGGCTATATGCAACATACAGCCCGCTCAGGGTGACCAGGAACATCAGGTTGAAGGTTCTGTTTGAGGGTTATTCAAGTCCTCACTGGTGCCCTCCGAGAAGAACTCTCCAAGCCGCGCTTTTGAATTGTCAACTTCCCAAGAATTGCCGGATACACCCTGCGGGGGCCACAACAGGACTATGCCGCTGTGTCAAGGGGCTGGCCAAAGCTTTGGAAACACGATGCCTCACAGCCAATGCTGGCACAACAACCTCTTCCAGCAAGGAGGGAAGTGGCCCCTAAACCCTAAACCCTAAACCCCCTAAACCCTAAACCCCCCCAAACCCTAAACCCTAGACCGCGTCCTGAAAAACTAATGGCTCTGGCACGGCATAGACTCCAGTCTTGGTAACCAACTCCCCCAAACAACAAAACGTCCCCCCACCCCCTAAACATGAGTAAGCCTCCAGGCATATACATATATATATATATGTATATACATACAAAAGTACTATAATGGGGGCACTTCTTCTTGCGCAGGTGGGAAAGTCGAATATTACAGGGAGGTAATCAGTCAACCAACTGCATGCGTACTGGATACAAGCCCGAGTGACTGACTGACAAGAGGGCCCAACATTATCAGATATTTGGAGGGTTGAAGGGCTGTCAAAATTATCCCACCTTTGGAGACGCCCTAAACTAAGGTACTCAGAAGGGGACTATGATTTGAGCAGCCCCATAATTACAAGCATTCTATGGAACGGTGCAACACGAACACACGAATTGAGAGCCCCAGAGACCCCAGCTGAGGCCCCCGGCACATCGCCACTCCTGACACAGAGCAGGCAAACGCAAACATACCCTACATGTATACATCAGTTATACATCTATCTATCTATATATCTATCTATCTATCTATCTATCTATCTATCTTCCCTATAGTCCCATCCCCTGGCACTGGACATGGCTCAGACAGAAGGGCTCCCTCTACATGAACCCCTAAACCCCCAAAACCCTAAACCCCTGATCCCTAAAAAAACTCCTGGCCTTAACCCAGCCTGCCCTGGGTTGTTGTCCACCGCCTTCAGAAGCCAAGTGTAATCACAGGATGGCTCTTTGCACAGAATGGGAGAGACCCCATGCTAGAGAATCCTTAGGGACACAAATTCTTGGTTGAACCCCCACCCCACGAATTCTAAAACGTCTACTTTGGTTGGTACGGGAGTTGGATCTGTTGGCTGCGGGTCAAGCTCATAGGAGCTCAGCTTGGGAGCGCGAAGAGGTTTTTTCGCATGAAGCGGCAGAGAACTTGTACCCCCGCTACCTGTATTGCGCACAAGGGTTTCCAGCAGGTACCCATGATTCCATGATGCTAAAGCAACACCGAATAGTCGAGCCCATCCTTGCTTATGATTCGCGCGTGGCAATGCTTCAGCATCTCCAGAACAAGGCACGACGCCTCCAAGTCCTGCTGCATCGATAGGGCTGGCCGTCGGGTAGGGGCTTGACGATTGTCCCAGACTGCCCCACACTTCCGCAGCACGTGTTGCAGAATTAGCGCTTGGCTCGCTTTGCAGGGTTTCCGGCTCCTGGCGCCTCTTCCTCGTCCGCCGTCACGGTGTGCAAGCTTGGCTGCCACACTTGAACGCTGTAGTCCTCGCTCACAGAGCACAGGAGCAACCGTCCAGACCTACACCAACTTAGGTCTGTCACGCTGCCTTTGTGTGCGGAGTGGATGAAGAGAGTTTCCGTTTCCAGCGCTTGGGCCTCGTCCACGTTGGGCTCTGTGCCATGGTTGGCTTCAGAAAGATTCCACACCACTGCAGTACCATCTTGCGAAGATGACGCCAGAAGATTCTTTGAAGAAGTGCCTTTGGGACAGGCACTCTCTGACGGACACCATTGCAATTGTGAAACATCTCCTTTGTGTCCGCATAGCTCTCTCAGCGGAGCCTGGCAGCGCCGCAAGTCCCAGACCTGTACCATGTGGCCTTTCCCGCCCACAGCCAAAAGGTGATCCTCGGTAGGATTCCAGTCAATGCTGAAGGATTCGGCCTTCGTGGCTATCTGAAGCATCTTAGTATACCCTTGCCGCATGTCCCATGTGCAAATACCGTCCTCGCCCGCCGTGGCCACAGAAAGGGAGCATGGAGAGAAGCTGAGGTCATTCAAGGAACCCTCATGGGCAACTAGTGCAAAGAGCGGACGGTCAGGCGAACGAGAAACGGTATCCCACACGCTCAGAGACCCATCGTTGCCGCCCGTGCCAAGCAGTGCCCGGTGCTTTGGGCACCAAGCCAATGCAAAGCCATCAGTGTCTTCCCGTGGATATCTGAAGCTGCAGAGGAAACCCCCACTGTCACTGGTCACCTGCTTGTAATCCAAAAGCGTCACGGTCCCACGGGAGCTCCTAGCAGCAATCACCTGCCGCCTCAAAGGACAGGCTGCTACCCGGTTCACATCTCCGTCCACCTCGTCCACCTCCATGCAGGCAGCCATGCGCAAAGGCGCCTTGGCCCTCCGCAGCGGCTTCACTCCGAAACTGCGGCAGCCGTGGAGCACCTCCGAGCTTTCAGCCGCGCTCTGTGTGCACAAGGTGCGCATATCCCAGCTGCTCCAGGTCTCGTGCGAGGTAGGCCTTCGGTCAGTCAGGCAAGTTAGTTCGGCAACTACCACCCGGCACGGCTCGGAACCATCCGTCTGCGTTGCGAAGACCAGCTTGGCACACTGCTCCGAGGCATCGTCCATCAGCCAATCCACCGTGAGGGCCGGCCACTGCAGGCCCAACTCCAAAAAAAGGTCATAGCGCTCAAAGACTTCAGTCTCCTTTTGCAAGTTGACCTCAAGGCCTCCGGCCTGCCCCTCATGCGACTCCTGCAAGGAAGCCTCGGGCAACTCATCCGCCATTGGCTACAAGTACTTTACGATCTCAGATTTTGCGTGCACCTGTTTAACTGGAGCAAGTTGCGCTTATCAGGCTATGAGAGTGCTAGGCTTTTTCCTGAATTTCCTCGTAACCTTAAATCACATGACGGAGCCTGTTGACGGAATCCATGCAGCATGAGCTAACGGTGAACGTCGGCAGACCGCTGCAGCCAAGCCGCAATCACCAGAGCTGCTTCCAATAGGGTTATATTGGGATTATAAAGGGAATATATATGGGTTATATAGGGATAATGGAAAAGAAAATGGAAACGACAGGGATTATAGGGTATATATTTGCTGCCTTCTGTTGTCCAAGATTGTGCGCAAAGCTCTGCTTGCGCACGGCCATCCGACTGTCAAGGCGGGCAGCATTACAACCCAAGGATTTCAACTATTGTAGTAGGCAGTTCTTCTTGGGGGGGGTTGAATGCCTATAGTGGAACACTTTCCAGAGTTCCTAGAAATTGTATCTTCGGCGTGTGTCCTCAGACCTTGCAGCCATCTCAGACCCCGTCAGCCACACACAGCACCCCTCGCCAAAAACCCAGCTTGGGATGAACAACCGCCCCAGCCCCTTCGAGAACCTTTCCTGAAAACATGCCAACTCCGTCAAATCCCAGCTGAGTTCCGCCTCAATGCCTGACTCCTTAATCCTCAGCCAGACCCCCTAAAGGATCCAAAAAATGGAGCCCCCTAATAATCCCTGGTTTCCCCAATGTAGTAATGGGTTCATATTGGGGAGGTTCCATTTTTTGGATTCTGTAATGGGTCTGGGAAAGTAGTACACCACATCCTTGCTGGTTCCTAGTAGCTGTATTTCATGATGAGCCCTTCTAGAGGATCCACGAGTCAACTTGGTGCTAGAACACCAGCGCGCTGTGCCTCTACCAGGTATCCCTCGGGCGGAAACCACACCTCAGGCTCTGAGATTTGAATTGCAGGAGAAGGCTGGTGAGTTCATCAAAGTTCCATGTAACAGTTTCGTATGCGTCCCATCAACCAAAATCCCCACGGGGTACCTCACCCCTAACCCGCAACCTACACCCAAAACCCAAAACCCCGCTCCCACTCCCCCTGAAGCATCAGGAATGGATGCTACGACGTGCACATGCTGCAGGTGTGTCAGGCGTCAGGCGAGGGATAAGCCGGCGCCGAGCTTTGGGCGCACCTTGGGGTTTGCGGTTAGGGTTGGAGTTTGAGTTTTGGGTTTAATGCTTAGCATTACAGATGTTGAGTTTGGGTTTAGGTGAGGGCGTAGGGTTTGGAGACAGAATGTCCAGGGTTTTGGGTTTACGTGCCTGAACAACTAGAGTGATGGAGAATCAAATGGAAAAGAAGCCTGAACATGAGAGCTAGGTGTATGTAAGGGTGTATATGGATTGTAGGCTACACGCCTCAGTACCGAAAATCGGATTCTTAGGTACACTCTGTCAGACTTAATATGCAAGGATCCTACGGGGATAGTCTGTTAATGCTTCAGGCTTCAGAATTTCGGTCTTGAGGTTTGGGGTATACGGCAAGGCTCAGCATGGCAGCAAGTGGGCCGCAGGCTCGAAGGGCCACGGTGAAGTGGGCGCGCTCAACCTCGGGGTTTAATTTCAATTTTTTTGAAGGGTTGGGGATACATAGTCCACCTTAAGTAGATAGAACATCGGATTTTGCATGGGGATCTTATTACGGTTCTTGGGTATTTCCATACTCTATCTACTTAAGGGTGAGAATAGGGCCTAGGGCTTCAAATTCGGGAGAGCCCAAAGGTGGAAGAGCAGAGCAGGTTTCGGGTTCACTCTCTGCCTCAAAAAAGGAAATAATAACATGAAGAATAGGGATAACAGAAAACTAACTATAGTAGCAATAACAGTTACAGTGGTAGTAATAACTATCACGAAAAAGTTCAGGATTGTCTGAAAGAAACTGGTAAATCTCAACATGGAATGGTAAGACTTGTCTCGCGGCCTGAACTTCCAAAAGCAATGCATACTGCAAGCACAAATGAGTTGTTTACCCATCCCTATCGCAACATAAAGGTTTATCATCCTTGTTATAGGTACCCTCAAAGGGACCCCCCCATTGCTGAAAGCATGGGTCTCCAAAATTAGGGAACCCTTTTCGGGAGTCCGTAGTGCCTGTAATCAGGAGTCTTCAATATTTTCGAGTCCATATGGGGGCCGCTGGTTCATAGAACCCTAAGCCTTCACGTAGGTACTTGCCAAAACAGACTCCCAATTTAAGGAAGCCCCCCTAGATCCCAAACCCTATGGCTCTTTCTGAAGTCTGGTTAACAGATCAGCCCCCCCCCAACCTCGAGCACAGCCCCATCAGCGAAGTGTGCGGAAAACCTTCGCTCCTTAGCATGCACGTGCCGATTTGATATACCATAATTGTTGTGTATATGTATGTATGTGTATATATATATATCTGTATGTATCGATGTATGTATGAATGCATGTATGTATTCTGCTGAGACATTACTATAGCACCTGTGTATACAATGTCACACCATAATAGCGGTTGTACTTCAAATTTGCTTTTCTAGCCTATACCATGGAAAATACCATACCCTAGGAGAATATTATCGTATGTGTATATACATATATACCCTAAACCCTTAAACCCTAAGCCTATCTATATATATATATACATAGCAGTGAGTTACTCAGGCGTTCAAGGCCTTCTGCTTTCGATAAGCAGCCTAGGGTCACCTAAGAACTTTTCATGACTTGAACAAAGGTACTCTCTGCTCAATGAACTGATGAAGTCTTACAAATATCAATGTAGCTGAGGAGCGGGATATCAACAACGGCCACAACGTTCTGAGTATCCAAAAGTCGGCGACCCGGCAAGTATCCCTCTTCCGTGAAATGTTGGAATCCCAAACCAGACAGACCGCTACTGTACCACAAGGTAGTTTACGCGCAATGGATATGTATACGCCCGAAACCGTAAGACTCCAACACTTAGACCCGCACACCCAATGCTCTGCCATATGGGGGCTTGGGCTTAAGGCGGTGGGTTTAAGGTTGCAGGTTCAGGAGCGAAGTTTAGCTTTGAAATGTTCTGAGGATCTTGGGTGCAGTGGTTGTTTGTGGGTTGATCAGTATCTAGAATCTGGCAGGGGCAGGTCTCAACCTGGCTGGTACACACGCACCTTTCCTACTTCAAAAAAACCCTCTGACACCCCTTCTAGGTGTTACATAAAGCTTCAAGCGGCCCCAGAGTATTTGGGGACCTTCTTACTTGGAATTCGGATTTGGGATATACTATACTGCAACCATGTAAGGCCTATAACATAGCAACAAGAATGATAATGAGGCTTCTGCATTACACAATCCCTGTAAGCCCCAACATAAGCCCAGCTTCCATGTCATTGTCCGTGCTGTTTTGCAGCTGATTCTCCAGAAGTGGTGGGTATTCAGGCTTTTACATTACACTTACATGATCCCCCTAAAACCCTTACAGAACTTTAGTGCGGACAACACCCAACCCCGTTGCAAAATACGTGAAGCCCCCACACCCAAAACTTTAAACCCTCACTAAACCCTATACCCTGGGATGCTGGCAGCTTCCTCCACAGAGCTTGCATCATGCAGGGCAAGGGGGCCTGACTTCAAGCAAGGGCCACCTTTTTGGATAGCCATGGGGTTAGGCTTTAGGATACTAAAAATCCTGCATGGCCCGAAGTACGTGTACCTTTTGAAATGTGTGCTATAGAATGACAAGGTCATGCAGGATTCTTGGTATCAGCAATAGGGATTTGCACGGAGGCAGTACAGCTATAGCATTTTAGGGGGTTCAGGATTTCAGGGTCACAGGAACTTCCGTGTGGGACACATGGACCCCCAACCTCGACCAACCTATTCATTTCCTAAACCCAGACCCTCCCAAAACAGTCCCCCTTAAGTACATAGAATATAGCTTTGGGTATATTATAATCAGATCCCCATATAACCCATATTCTATCTTCTTAAGGGGGACAGAAAAAGCTTCATTCCAGCACTAGCCTAGGACGTCCTAACACCTCCCCAACCTTCCGAAACACTTGATCCTAGACCTCAGAAATATCAGATGCCCTACCAGAAACAGCAGGGGGGAGAGGGGAGAGATAGAGCTAGGGACAGCATCAACCAAACAAATAAACAAACAAACAAAAAACAGACAAACGGCCGGAAAGACCCCCCCACACCCACCAGGCACCTATGCGGCGGATCAAGTCCCCCGGCTGCAGCTCGGGTTGCCCAGGAAAATCCTGCCAGGCTTCACTCTTTGGCCCCAAAGAGTCGGGAATTTGGGGGTTACAAAAAGTCAGGAATTTGGGGCTTAGGAACGGAAAAGAAAATGGGAACTTCTATTTAGGGTTTAGAGCATAAGAAACGGAAAAGGAAATGGGGGACTGCATAAGAACTACTGCAAGAATCATTTCCCCTTCCCTACCAACAACCCGTAAATGAAAGGAGGGGTTTAGGGCTACGGGTTGCAGATCTCAAGGCATTAGGGCTTCGGATTTCAAAATGAGGTGTAGGGTATGGGGCTTGGTTTGTGTTTGGAGCTTTGGGTTTCGGAGCTCACTGCTGATGAGATGCTTCGGGGGGAATTCTCTAATCTCAGAGAAGCCATAGGCCTGTCCACCCGGTGCTTCATGTCAAGAAATGGACTGTATAGTCCACCTCAAGTAGATAGAATATGGGGTATATGGAAATCTTATACAGCCAAAGCCATATTCTATCTACTTAAGGCGGACTATAATCCTCCTTTCATCCCTAAAGATGTTGCACCGTCCAAATTGCTTTTTCTTGCTTGAGCCTCAAGCCCTACACAGAAATTGCCATGTTCTTCCGTTGCTAGATGCTGCCCATGGGTCCCGATTGTTGTACACAGGATTCCAAGGAAACTCGTCTTTATCAGCCAGGTTTTTCTGTCTTTGTAAGGCTACAAAATCCTACTCAGCATGTGCCACGCATGACAACCTTCTCTGCGTGAGAACT